TTTAAGTAGTTTCCCCGTAGACCTATTCCACTAAAGATAAAAATAAATTCTTAATTTAAAAAAATATATATAAAAGAGATTTTCTTAATTAGATTTTCTTAGCCTTTTATGAGAATGAACAATTGATGCAATAATGTAGATAGAAACCACTTTTTGAAAAACGTGTCAGTATTAGTACCTCATGGGTGACGTAGAAATCTATTGAAATATTTCCACTTAATAAATTTAAAAAAAATTTATTTTTAATAAATTTTAATAAATTTTTTAAATTTTAATAAATAGGGAGAAGAACCTACTCATAGAACCTAATCAGATAGTGCCGCTCCTAACGCTCGGCGGCGTTGGCCCTAGCGGCTGCGGCGCGCGCGGTAAGGAGAGGAAAGGAGGCGTATACCACGGAAATCGGCTGAAATGTTCAGACTAATTCCGAGCACTGTCGTAAACTATTCAATTTTTGGCCATCTTACCCTTATAAATTTTTACGCCGAATATTGCGAGGAATCGATTTATATAAAAAAATTAGGGTGGTTCCATTTAAAAAAATGAAGATGACCTTGATATCTCTGCGCCTCCACCTGGACAAAAATTATTATCGCCATATGATAACCCCCTTCGTACCATGCAACTTTAGTTACACAACTCTACTTCTGGACTTTATAGATTCGAAGATATTTAAGGTGGTAATAATTATTGCCTCACCCTGCATATCACAATCCCACAATTTTTGTTTACTGTAATAAACAATAATTGTTAAAAATACATTGAGATTCCAACTTAAAATTTTGTACTTATAAACTTATAATATCAAAGAAGAAACATAATAATTTTGAAAATTTTAAATTAAACTATTTTTGAAAAACGTGCATGTTTCGAAAATTTTGAATTTGTGACCTAAACATGTCTATTCCTTCAAACTTTCAACTTTCAGAATCTTTTTGCAGATTTAAAAAATTGTTATTGGTTTCAAAGTTATGATATCAAAAAGCGGCTGCCGCCAAATTGCAAAATTTTTCTACAAATTTGGCAAGGCACACAGGGATGCAAAATAAATTGCAACAAAATTTCGTTTATTGCGTTGTAAAGCGTAAATTTTTCTCTTCAATTTGCTTTTTTAAGAATGATTCTACGATTTTTTTCACCGAGTTATTCAGTAGCAAAAACTGTCCTAAACACTTTGATTGCCTATAAAAGTGGACCTACTTCTCTCCAATGTGTAAGAACAAAGTGATCCCATAATTCTTTTTTTCACTTTAGCCGATTCAAACATGTCGGACATAGCGAAAAAAAATCGTAGCCACTTTCCCAGGGGCTCATTTTAATCGAAAGAATCTGCTTTTTAAGATGCCGTTGAGTTTTTATTATTTTGATCATTTTTCGTAAAGTTATATCAAGTTAAATGAAAAACGGAAAAAATGCAATTTTTAACCTAATTTTAAAATGAATATTATGCCGTCAAAATAAATGCTTTTTACAGGGCAGACTTTTAGCTTTTAATTGCTTTTTTTTTAAATGGTGTACGATAATTGGTTCGGCTTTTATAGGCAATCAAAGTGTTTAGGACAGTTTTTGCTACTGAATAACTCGGTGAAAAAAATCGTAGAATCATTCTTAAAAAAGCAAATTGAAGAGAAAAATTTACGCTTTACAACGCAATAAACGAAATTTTGTTGCAATTTATTTTGCACTCTGTGTGCCTTGCCAAATTTGTAGAAAAATTTTGCAATTTGGCGGCAGCCGCTTTTTGATATCATAACTTTGAAACCAATAACAATTTTTTAAATCTGCAAAAAGATTCTGAAAGTTGAAACTTTAACCTTCAAAATATTTTTTTTTGCCATTAAAATCGGATCATTTTCAACAAAGTTGTAACCAGTTAAAAATGGTCTTTATTTTGCGGAAAAAAAGTAATCCCTTAATTTTTTTGCGGAGTGTATTATTTAACAATTGGATCACTTGACATGGAATGATTTAAAAGAGGAACCTGTGCGCGCAATATTAACGCAAATAAAAAATAAAAGCAAGATAAACTTGAAATACTTACTGCTGTATGCCATAACGAGAGCCGGCAAACTGGAGAATGTTTGATTGGTGGCAATAAAAAAGCCGCCATTATCGAGCGGCTTAATTTTATAGTGTTTGACATGATGACCTCTTCCCTCTTCCCAATCCTTGACTGACAAGCTATAACCCCGAGGATTGTGCTCGCTCGGCCTCACCAAGAACGTACCGCGAGGATTCTCGTCAACTAGCAGCAGCTTGCCTGCTTCCTTGCGCGACACATTTTCAAAGAACCAACTACAAAAAACGTAATATTGGTAATGGCAATGTCTCGTTGAGGACCGAAATAAGAAAAAAAATAAATACTCACTCTTCACTCTCAACCGATCGTTCGACAGCGACAAAGTTCCAAGGAATCAGACCTTCTTGTAGGGTCGTCAAGTGCAATACTCTCCACCAATCCGGTTCGGAATCATCTAGAACCTTCATTCGGTCGCCTTTCATAAAACTAACATCAGTGCTTTCTCGCGCTGTGTAATTGTACAGGGCCACCACAATTTTATTGGTTCTTTGTGAATGCGCTATATCGGAAGAGAAGTAATGTCTCATTATCAAATTATTTTCCGCAGTTCTCCGTAGTTTTTCGAGTAAAAAGAAAACCAAAGAATTCGAAACGGTCAGATCAGCAATTTAACTAAAACGTCAAGGATTCATGTACAATAGAACAAGTTGATTGAAGAATTGATATTACACATAGATTATTTTATATTGCAAAAGAGCGATCGTATGTCGGAAAAAATATAGTGTTTAAGTTATATGAAGATGGTATTTTTAGTTTACTTTTGCATGAAATTTTGCATCAATTTTGTATCAAAATTTTTAGTATTTTCTTCGTTCTTTCATGCGAGGATAAGTTAAAAAGAAATAAAGGGATTTTTTAAAGAATTTTTTATTATTTCTCTTAAATGTCTCTTTACTTGTTGATTTATCTCATAAAAACAGAAAAAAATAAATTTATAATGCCATATTTTATATTTTCATTGTTCCACATAAATATAGGGATCACTTCTTTCGTCAAAGAATTCAATTAATTGTGAAACTAATTGTTTCAATTTTCTGGTAGGACAAGAATTTAAAATAAATCAAAACAATGATTACTTATTAGTGCTAAGCGGTTTCACAATGCAACGCTAAGTTTGACTACTTATAAAACAAAATTTTATCTTCGGATCTTGTATCGTCCAAATGGTCGTTTTACAGAACTAAAAAAAAGAATAACATAAAATACACACATGCAGACTTAATAGGTGTATTCGTTTGACGAAATTGTTGATGTGGTATCTGTAGCTTACAGGGTGTCGGTTTTGGTCGGATAATATCCACGCCTTGCACGGCTCTCTGATTTGGATCGGCAGTGTATCGGTCCAAGGAACCCCCATTGCTATGTTTTGAGCTAAGTCCTGCTTCTGTCTTCTTATGACCTGAGAAAAATAAGCCTCATATGAAAAAAATAACACTGTGTGACAAATTTAAACTTTTTTTATAGACCACAAACCAGACAAGATGATTCTTATAGATTTTTTGTCGCTGAAAACGAACCCGCTAATGAAATTGCTCTATCACGTCACATTTTAGAGAAAATTGGATTTAAAAATGCCGAAAATGGCATTTTTTGATACTTTTGAGCTTAAGTATCTTAAAAATGTGACGTGATAAGGCAATTTTATTAGCGGATTTGTTTTCAGTGATAAAAAATCTATAAGAATCACTAACCATATTGGCTGCTTTATGCAAGAAGTTAGTAATAGATAAATTAAAAGTAAGGAGGACGGTAATGATCCACTTTTTATGTAATTTGAATAATTATCTGCACATAACGGTTTCTGGGGTCGGCAATTATGAAACCAAGGTCAAGATTATCAAATATAATTTGTTTAAACAATTATAAAAAATTTAATTTTAATTACAATTAAATTAATTAAATTAAATTAATACAATTAATATAATTAAATTAATTATAATTAAAATCTAATTTTTCATAATTGTTTAAACAATGATTGTTTAATTATAATTAAAACCAAATGTTTCATAATTGTTTAAACATATTATATTTGACAATCTTGACCTTGGTTTCATAATCGTCGAAGACCCCAGAAATCGTTATGTGCAGGTGATTATTCAAATGATATAAAAAGTGGACCATTATCGTCCTCCTTCCTTTTAATTTATCTATTACTAACTTCTTGCATAAAGCAGCCATTACAGTTAGTGGTTCTTACAGATTTTTTATCATTGAAAACGAATTCGCTAATGAAATTACCTTATCACATCACATTTTTAAGATACTTAAGCTCAAAAGTACCCAAAAATGCCATTTTCGGCACTTTTAGGTCCAATTTTCTCTAAAATGTGACGTGATAGAGCAATTTTATTAGCGGATTCGTTTTCAGCGACAAAAATCTATAAGAATTATCTTGTCTGGTTTGTGGTCTGAAATTCGTGTCACACAGTGTAATCATATAAAAAAGATACATAATACAAATAATTATCAGAAATTTATATGGTTACATACATTGCTAAACAAGAAAGATTTAAAAAATAAAACTATTCTCTCCATCTATAAATATAATAAAATATAATTTTGAATTATTCAAGGATATTAAAAGATAGATACACCATTTCGTCTTTTGTAGAAATTTAATTAAAAGCCAAATATAGTAATACAAGAAATTATGCTACATCTCGTCGTCTTTATAAATATATTATTCTATAAATAACAACAATGTCAAATAATCAATAATAACTTGTTTATGCACCATTTGAGATTATCATTTTTTGTAGAGATTTTACTCCGGAAGGCAGCATCGATATATGAACATGAACGTCTCTTATAGTTTACAACAAAGATTGGAAAAACATTAATGTCAATGCCAACTTTTTTAGCATAATTTCTTGTATTATTATATTTTGGCTTTTAATTAAATTTCTACGAAAGATGAAATGGTATGTCTTTTAATACCTTTGAAAAATTAAACATTGTATTTTATTCGAATTATTATTATTTATGGATGAAGAGAAAAGTTTTATTTTTATTCTTTTTTTTGTTAAGCAATGTATGTAACCAATGATGAGTAACCATATAGTTTTCTGATAATTATTTCGACATATAGTCTGTGTTATTTGGCTAGTTAATCATAATCTAACCCACCAATCGGTTGAGGCTCCTGTCGTTTGCTGCAACACTTTCCCATGCTGGATCTCGTTCCTAATTTACCTCTGCACGATTCCTATACACCCTCTATCCTGGATCCACTTGCGAAGCAAATCTCCATTATCTCATGAAATTCGATCCGGATGGTTAGTGATCGAGCCAATGACAAGATATATATCGTTATGTACTTTCAAAAGTCTTCTGCTCGCTGTTTACTCATCGCTGGATTATCGAACTTGTCCTTTCTGCAACATAAAGCAGTAGAGATCTATCATGATTCTGATCGAGAATTATTATCGCGACAATATTCGCAGAATACAGCGTCACGTGATCAAGATTTATAAATCATATTCAATTGACAACGGAAAGTTGATGCATTCCAATAAAGTCGATGACATAATCATTATTATGACGCAGTGACCAACAACATTAAATTAGCGATCGTCGCAATCAGATCTTTTGAAAACAGCTTTTATAGAGAAAATAACTTTTTTCTTTTAATCAGAACAGTTCACAAAACATTTTTTCCTTTCAGTTGTTAAATAAAGTAAAAAAATGCATGCACACTCCCCTTTGCTAATCTTATTTTCGTATTAATCAATAATGTTTACATGGTGGAGATGGAGGTAGACAAAGGAGTAACCACAAAGATTGCGGAATACATAGTGGAAGTTGATGCGCGCGTTGAAATCCAAGATACAAGAGTCGTCACACATTCCGAGTTATCTCCCTGACATTATAGCTATGTATGTGGAGAGAGAAACATAAGCATGTCATCTTTTGGAAAGTCAAGCCAAGAGTCGATTAATGCTTTAATTAATCGGTAAAATATCTATTATATTTGAAGAAACTAATTTGCAAAAATGTTTTATTTGTAATAACGCGCGTTAATTTTTGCTACTTGAGTTATTTAATGTATTACAGAAATTATTATACAGGGAGTATAATAATCCCAAAAAGAGCGGAACTCTAGAATATCTCAGAAAGTATGCATTTTTGAGAAAAATGTTTTAGACAAAAGTTGTAGGGTATAAAATGATCTATTTAGTGATATTAGCAGTTTGATCTTAAGTTGCGTCACAAAAGTCAGATCAAGGTTACATCAATTTTTTTAAAAGAAAATCCCCATTTTTGATTCTATATTTTTGTAGCTGATATCGAGAGCTTTCCAATACACTATAATGAAATTCCTTTTTATTAAGTATTTTCCAAGTTAGGAGGCTTGAAAGTTACGCTAGAGTGAGAGAGAAAGAAGCGCGTTGAGCGCGTGAACGCATTGCTTCATTCTCTTTCTCTTTCACTCTATCGTAACTTTCAACTCTCATAACTCGGAAAGTACTTAAGCGAATGCTGGAGTATCTTACAATAAAGAATAAAACAAGCCAGAGGCGATCTAACGTGTATTGGCGATGTAGAAATAGAAAAGCCAGAAGCAATCTGACGTATCCTGGCGATGTAGAAATAGAAAAGCCAGAGGCGATCTAACGTCAGCTAACAATTTAGAAAAATAAAGCCAAAGACAATTTATCCGTGAGCTGGCAAATTGTAAGAAATATTGTCAGAGGCGATCTATTGTGAGCTGGCAGATTTTAAGAAATACGTATTTCTTTTAGTTAGTAATCTACTACACGTGTGGTCTGTTTATGTTTTATCGGATAATTTATAAGGTTCGTATCTTTTTCCTCGCGATTGAAATTTGTATGGCTGTATTCCACACGGAACAAAAAGCTCTAATGGATATCCACTAGATGTCCATCATGGAGATTCGAAACCTCTATTAGATGTCTATGTAATCTCTTATAGATGTCTACTAGACATCCACAGTTCCGCATTACATACCTCCATTCGACATCCATTAAATATATTCATAGATATCATATGGAGCAATCATAGATGTTCCATAGATATATCATTTCATAGAGCTCTGATGGATTGTAGTTTCAATTCATCATTAATAAAATTATTTGGAAGTAAAGTCACAAATATGGAATGTCAACAAAAACAGAATGTCACGACTGTGAGACAGTCGAGAACATGGTGACATTCTGTTAACACCTATATAAACAAGACTATCTTGCAATCATATTTGTGACTTTACTTCCAAATAATTTTATTAATGATGAATTGAAACTGAATGTCACCATGTTCTCGACTGTCTCACAGTCGTGACATTCTGTTAACACCTACATAAACAAGACTATCTCGCAATCACATTTGTGACTTTACTGCCAAATAATTTTATTAATGACGAATTGAAACCACAATCTTTCTACTAAACAGATTTGTAACGTTAGCACTGAAGATGGCTGAATGATC